GGTGTTTGTCATGTTTCTGCGCGAAGGTCTGGAGTCTTTCACGAGTACATGTGGTTGATCCTGCATGCAGCGCGACCCGACGAATCCCGCTACGGCGCGTGCAAGGCCAGCTAAGCATGCTCTTGCCATAGTGATTTGGCTGGGAATCAAAACCACTGGGTTTGTGACACGCTTGGCCGTCCATCCTGCGACATAAGTTTGTAACAGTAACAGAGTTTCCTAGCTTGCGACAAGCACCTTTGCAAGGAGGCTAAGTTGTGGGGCATTCTGGCTCCAAGTATTTGATGGAAAGTTGTGCAACAATGTTAAAGGGGCGGGGGCGGGCCCTGCGACTATCTGAGCTTGACACCTACTTTGCAGTGCAGATGACCTGACGAACAATCCCAGCCACGTTTGCACTTTTGACACGGTGTAGGAGAGGCAAAGATCTATTAAAAGTCTGCTGCCGCTAGAGTCTTTGCAGGTTTTGGCTTTCTTCATGCTGCAATTCGTTGTCACAGCGGCTGAGGCTCTTGCAAGTGTGGACGACAAGGGATTCCGATCGTCTTTGTAGTTCTGTTTTAGCCACGTAGTTGCCACTTTCCAACGTCTGCTGTAGGCCGTTTTTTCCAAAAGTGCTTTGGGCCATCTTGTCGCAAAAGTGCCAGGACCCGTTCCACGGCAGCAGCAGCAGTGAACTCATGTGAGGCACTCGTGTCAAACAAGCAATCAAGGTTTTAACCTTCCTGGTCACACTGGCGATGCTTCCATGGTCCCCGCTCTTCCTGGAGGCAGCTAGGCATGCAGACGCGTACCACGGACAAGCAAGCCCCTTTTTTCCAGGGCGTGCACGACCTGATCTGCGAGCTTCCCTACACTCTGCCCTCTCTGGAGGCGAAGGACAGCTAGCAGCTAGCAGCCGTACACGTTTGTTGCACTTTTTCACCGTGCGCACGCTTGCAGAAGGATAGCTTTGGGGTTGGCCTCCGGAGCGCTGCACTCTGCGTTCTGGCTGTCGTCCCGGTGGCCTTCTTGACATGGAGATCTTCAGAGCAAGAGCTCAAAGCTGCTTGGCAAGAGCCGCCCTAGTAAGTTTACAGTTGAACCTATTGAAAGCTCCGGGTTCCGTGTCTGTCTGACAGGCCTCAAGACTTCAGACCCACCAGAGAGTTCAGGAATAATGCTTGGAACATTGGTCTTTCCAGGCCTCCGGGGAGAAGAAGGACAATTAAAGACTGCTGGGTGAAAAAGTTGTCTCCTGTAGCTGCTGGTCTTCGAGGGAAGCCAGCGACCTGTACAGCATAATTTTCTTCTGATCCAATTCGTCTCTCCGCTCGTGAGCAGAAGCCTGGCCATTTTCGCGCCAGCAGAACGAACCTTCGTTCGAGCTGCGGCCACGCTTTTAACCGCAGAGCGGACCTTACGACAGAGAACTCTCAGCCTGTTTCAAATTCAGCTGGAGGTATGCAAAAAAATTGCCCATGACTTGCCGCGCAGGCCAGCTCGAAAAGCCACGCAGAATGAGTTCAGTCTGGGACTCGACAGGCGGAGGCGGGCGCTGTTTTTTTCATGGATTGCTTTGGGCGCGCTTTGCTAGTGGTGCTTTGTGAAAAGCTACCACGGGTCAACTTTAATCAACATTAGGTGTCTGCAGATGTCAGCAGTCAGCAGCCTCGCGCAACCAGCAGATGCATGTTGATCTTGCTGGAACCCTCATTCAAACTGATCCAAACAAGAGCTGAGTACCATGAAGAATTGGAGACTCCACATTCGCCCCCTGGCCATGAAGGTGGTTTGGCGAAGGTGGGGCCATCGTGTGCACATAGAAATTTGTAGCGACTTTGGGGAGCTTCAGAGCTTCATACCCATGAAGACGTTTTCAGACTTGCTGCCACGGGAGCTTGGAGGCTGGCCGCGGCACTGTAACCTTGCCTCCAGGCCCGGCCGTCTGCTTGTGCAGCATATGTGAGGCATACCGGGCTTGTCTGGTGGGAGCTGTGCTGGACAGGTCTGCATCTGGAAAGATGGCCGCTGCCAGTGCGTGCTACTTAGAAGATGTTTCACTGTGGCAGCAAGCGTCAAGCTCTAAAAGAATCATGCCAGAGGAACGATGAATTGGGCGCCAGGTCCAGTCAGCTGTTGGCCGTGGCTGTGCAGACGCGTCTTGTGGCTGCTGGTGGCCCGGGCGTGATACTGTGTTCATAGGGATGTGTGATGGCTTGAGTCGGCTTGAGGTTGTGGAAGCCAGCCGACCAACCACAATCCTGGCCGGTACCTCAGTCAAGTCGCGTGCGCTGATGTAGCACATATCTGAGACCCGTCTGCGGCCACTTGTGCGCACGTCAAGACACCAAGCAAGTCATGCACGCCATCTTAACAGCAGCCAGACTACAGCAAGAACAAACAAGGTTTTAAGCCTATAATTACGTAGCATGGGATTCTTCCGGGCTGTCTGCTAGGGCAGCCGGTGACGGGCATGAAGTCCCCCAGAAGAAGCCAGCAAACGCAACATGTGCATCCAGAACAATCAAAATTCCTTTGCTGCCAGCATCTGCAAGCCATGGGCGCACCTGAGGGCGCAGCAGCCTATCAAGATTGTTGCGGCTTCTGTCAAGCAACATCACCAACGTTCAGATGTTCGCGCTGCAGAATTGCAAAGTTCTGCAATGCCGCATGTTTCCAGTCGGCATGGAAGAGTCACAAGGCAAACTGCTCGCCATGCGGCTATTCCCCGCTGCAGCCAGCTCCCGCGACGGTCTCCAAGGCAGACCAGTCTGGTTGTCATGCTGAAGGAAGCAAGATTGAGAACGGCCGGATCTTCGTGTCCATTGCGGCCTACTGTGATCCTGAGCTGACAGAGACCTTGAAGTCCATGCTGTACCAGGCCACAAGACCAGAGTTACTGGTTGTGGGCCTTGTATGGCAGGGCGATTCTGAAGACGGTGAGCCAATTAGCCAGGAAAGTTTGACAACACTGCAGCATCTCTGGCATGCTGAAGGTGATTTGGGCTCCTCAGATGCTTGGCTTCCAACACTTCCCGGCGAAAGGAAGATAAGTTTTCAATCTATGCTAGGAGGCAGGCTACGCATGGTCTGCATAGGAGCAGGCGATGCTCGAGGGCCTTGTTGGGCCAGATATCTTGCTCAACTCCTGTGGCAAGGGGAAGAGCTGTATCTGCAGCTGGATAGTCACATGCGCTTCGTACATGCATGGGATGACAAGGCACGGCGTCAGCTGCTGATGTGTACGAAACACTCCAAGAGACCTGTTTTATGTAGCTATGGCCGAGCTTACCCACTGGGGATGCCCTATGCTGAGACACCTCGAAATTTGACGGCCTGTTTGAATTGTGCTGCCTTCTTTGACAGCAATAATGTCCTTAATATTCGCTATCGATCTCTGGTTCGGGATTGGGAAGAACCGCGGGCGAGCTTCTTCTGGAGTGCGCACTTCTCATTCTCTTCCGCTGATGTGTTGCGTGAGGTGCCATATGACCCCCGCTTGCTTATGCTTTTCTTCGGAGAAGAAATTTTGATGACCGTGCGCTTGTTTACTCATGGTTGGGACCTCTTTTCTCCAAGCTCTGGTTTGGTGTTTCATCTCTGGCAGCGGCATTACCGCAAAGTTTACGCAGAGGACATGCAGGAGCTTTACCGGGACTTCAGCCACAGCTCCAGAAAATCTCTGCACGCCTTGCTGGGCTCAGGGCCTCCTCTGTTTTTCGAAGAACCTCTTGCCTGGCCGTTACCTGGTGGCGGCCTGGGCACCCCAGATGCATTTCAATTGGGACAGTCTCGCTCTCTTGCTGAGTACGAAGAAGCTGCCGGGGTAAGTTTCAGCGACCGACACCTGAGTGATTTCGCTCTCCGTGGAGGCGCTCCCTCTGAAGATTTCTTTTTGACGAAGGAGGAGGGTGGGCAGATGGCAGTGGAGATGCAGTGCCGGAGTGATCTGCAAAAGGCGCAAAAGGCAAAGAGTGACAAAACAGCACCATGCACGCGTCCTTTCGGAAAGTGCAGCATGCGGATGCCTGCGAACGCTCAGTAAGTCAGGTGGGGCCTTTGCCTGGACGAGGCCGTGGATCTGAGCTGCAAAGTTGCAAGTAACACAATGTGGTCGGCCCCACTTTCTTCACCGCTACCATGGTAGTGATGATTTTCTTTGTAATTATGATCGGCATTTCCGGCTCCATCCGCAGTGGTGTTGCAGTGTTTATCTTCGTTGCCGGATGTTGCCGGGATTCGTGGTAGTCCCCATTCTCTCTTTGCCATTCTCTGAGCATTCTGAATAGGAACTGCTATTCAAACAGGATCTTCTGGAATGGACAGTCTCATGCTGCGTGCCGCGTCCCGGGCTCGATGGGCAACGGATTGCACGAAGTAGCGTGTGTCAGGCGATCTTACTTGTCATTGTAGGACTATCGACATTAGTGGAGCCTTCACACAAAGGCCTGTAGTGTTGAGAAACTCCCGGTTCAAACAAAGGATGTGTTAGGTTTTGTCAGAATGCACCGGATGTCTGGAAAAACATGAGAGTGAGGTTTCCTACGCTAGATGCACCCATTCTTGCAATTCTACGGGTTTTCAGCACTTTGCCGTTGTTGTGTTTCAGTCCGAAGCTGGCCATGTACCTGACGGGAATGCGAACGAATGTCATGTTGACCGCAGTGGCATTCAATTTGACGCAGCCCAAGAGTTCTCAAGCCCATTTAGTTTATAGGCGCGAATTGCGCGCAGCTTCGATTTTCTAGGTACCGGGCCGCGTCTCACACAGGCCAGCTTGCATTGCGACTGACAGAGCTGAAGACCTAGACAGACTGTGGACGACAGAGCTCACCAAGCGCTCCGAAAGACGGTTGATCATGCAGGTTTGAGGAGCTGCGTTGACGTGTAGTTTGCCCGGCAAATGTAGGAGTTATGAGTTCGAAGTGGTCCGCGCATGCTTCGTGAGAAGAAAGATGTTACAGGATAGTGGCAAACCTTTTTGAGCATCTCTCGCCCAGATCTTTGGCACTTCGCGGATGTCCGACGGTGGCTATGGCGGTTCAGCTCCGTCGTTGGATTCGCTATTCAAAGGCACTGCCTGTATGCCCCCAGCACCTTACCAGTCCGCTTCTACACACAGCTGAGATAGCACTTGTTCACCTTTAAGCGGTTCTTGCTGTATTCTTTGCCATGCTCGCTTGGCAAATATGTAATGTCAGGCAAGGCTAAGAAGAAGATCAAGCTGCTTGGCCTGCAATGCTTGCAGATACCACGTACACACGAGTTAAAAAACGAGCTGCATGGACGGTGTGCGAACGCGCAGACCGCGCTGCAGCCCGGTGCTTTTGGCAATGCAAGCTAAGGCCCATGAACTTCAATCCCGCCTTCAAAGCCGCGGGTCCCATGGTGCCGAAAGGCCCTGCGGCCGCCCTCAGGCCTTGCTGTTGTGGGTTCTGCCAACTTTCAGTGGTAGCTCCTCTCCAAGAGCTGATTTGGAAAGCAACTGGCTGGAAATGGACTTGTTGATCCCCAGCGTGGTCGTGACAAGCGGCTTTATCACTGCTTATCAATGCTTAACACCCCATGTTGCCACAACATGAGAATACTTTCATTCTTTTGGGCGCGCATCCCTGACAGGCCAATGGGCAGTGTCTAGGCGGCACTTGTGACGCCCAACTTGAGCTGTTGCTGCAAAAGCATACATCCTGGTGGCGGGTTCTTTCCTTCAATCAGGTGCCTTCACTGCTCCCAGCTCCAGCACAGAAGGATGGGCAAGAGAGCTCAAAAAGGACGTCAATCTTTGGCCTTCTTCAATAGCATGTGTTGGACCATTCCCATCCAAGACTCTCAAGCCAAACTCAATGTAGGTCCTTCCTCGAATTTTGTTTGGCTCTAGCACCGACATTCAAGCGCAGCTGCAGGACCAGGACCTTCTGAAGAGCTGTGGCCTGTGGGTCAAGGAGGTCGAGGGGGATGGCGCCTGCTTGTTTCGAGCGTTTCTCAGTCACGGACAGCAGTTACAACAGTTTTTTTTTTCTAAGTTATCTTTTTGCTACAATTTGCTGCTGTTGCTGCTGTTCTTCTTCTTCTGGTTTGTGCTGTTTTTGTTATTGTTGTTCTTCTTCTTGTCGATTGTGCCGTCTCAAGGCTGTGTAAAATCCCGAAGCCACATGAAACAAGCAGCCGTTCTCAACTCAGGTTTGCTGACCAGCTGGTCGCAGATGAAACTGATGCTCATGCAACTTGACTGGCAGTTCTATTCTCAAAGAAAAGGCAGAAAGCTCGTGATGTTGGATCCTCATGTCGCAGTGCGATCCTTGCTTTTGCCACTGAGTGTTGACGTGCTGGACAGACGAGCTTCCGAATTTGTGGTAGGGGAATGGCGTTTGCACTGAGCAAGGGAAGATGGTAGGACCCTTCATCTCAATGCAGCAGCAGTCCAAAGCCGTGCTGGGTAGCTACGCCAGGCGCAGATGCGAGAGCGCTGTGTAGACTTCATGGAGGCCCATAGAGATGATTTTGAGCCCTTCATAGATGATGCTTGGCAAGAACTTAAAAGCCTTTTCTGCATGGCTGACTGCTGTTCATCTCGTTGCATGCATAAGAGGAGGCTGATGCAGAGCTCCTTTCATAGGATTCTGCAATGAACCCCATGCTGCAAAATGGCTCAAAACTAGCGGGATGGGTGTAGCTTTGTGCCGCTCCGTGCTGCTGAGCTGCACATTATGCTTGCTTGCCAGTACAGTACGATGCAGCTTCAACCACATGCAGGGCTGTCTCCGCCAAGGAGAGCATGGGACAGGTGCAGCTCCACTGCTGCTGTTGTCGGGAGAGGGCAGCTTGGACGGCAACATGCCTGGTGTTGGTGAGTTGTGCGTGACAGCTTTCGGACTGGGAGGAAGAAATTGGGCCACTGGGCGTAGAACCACTCCTCGGGCTCCCTCACAGCGAGGGCAAAGAAGACGAGGGCAAGAACAGTTGCTGGGCTTCAGTGGCCACAGCTCCCTTTGCAAGGTTGACAGCTAGTGTCTGTCCCTATGTCTTGTGGGTAGCGCCCTTTCTGCAAGGGCATTCTGCGCTGCAGGCTCTGAAACCCCGGTGTCCGACAATCGCTGTATTGATCAAGAGCTGAAGCTGGCTCACGCAACTCGGCTAGACATTCCTGGCCCCATTGGTGTTAAGATGGCCTGTGACGAGCTTCAGAACATCTGTTGCCGCGCTTATGTGTTGTTTGTTATGATGGCATCATGATAGGCCCTGAGCACCCTCCTTTCCAGAAGGGTTGGTAGGAGTCATGTCACAGCTTGTGATGGGAGCTCTGCTAAGGCCTGGGACTGCGTGCAGCGGAATTCTAAAGCTGTTCAGACACAGGCATGCTGTGTCCAAAGCGTGTGCTCCTGATGCCTTAGTCTGAGTTTTGATGAGCAGGTCAGGTTGCTTGTTTGCCCATTACTTTGTTGAACGACTTGGCGCATACCTTCCATGCTGTAGCAGCGCACCTGACCCGCACACAGGACACACACCCGGCCACCGCCAGAAGCAAAGAACCGACCAAAGATGTGGAGGTGGAAAGTAGAAATTTCCTTGCCTTGAGTGCACATGGATGCGGCTTGCAGGTTCACTGGCGACGGGCTAGAAATCTGTCGAGAGCAGGGATTGTCATGCGATCGCTGCTGCGTGATGTCCGCGACATGGCATGCAAAAGCACGACAGCAGTCTCTCAGCAGTGGCTTCGGTACCAGTAGCTCAATTTGTGGGCTCAGGACAAGGACGCCAGACCTGTGTCGAGAGCCAGTCGCCCATACAAGCAGGTGCGCGTGTGCGCAGCTGGTCGGAAACCTCTGCAGCTGGGACATTTCAGCTTGTCATGTGGGGGAGGGCAGGCTCTTAAGGCGCGACAGCCCGGCTTGATAATGTCAACAGCCCAGGTGGTCCAGTGCGTGCCTGAGGACGTGCAGCAGAAGCAGGACCACGCAATGTCGGACTTGCAAGCATAGTGTGAAAGAAGGAAGGGTGAGGATTGCTTTTCATAGAGGCTCTGCTATTTCACATGTTCTGCGAACTGCGAACACTTGCGCAGGATCACTCAGCTGCAAGCAGCTCGCATGGATGGCAGCGGGCGAGGCAGCTTGCTCGTACAGTCAATGCAGTCAATGCGATGGGTACGCTGCTGGATGATGTTCGCTCCAAACAGACTGAGACGCTATGCAGCAGTTTTGGCTGAATTGCTGGCGCTCAAGAGGACGTGCTTTGCATGTTTTGCCGAGGAAAGTTTATTCCACTGACTGGACTCGGGTGCCGCACACACCATCTCCAGCTGCGAGGGCCAACTGGCAGCGTCTGAGGAGTGCCTCTGATGCAGGGCATGTCTTCCAGAACATGCTCAACGGAGTGCGGAGCAGGCAGACAGAAGAAATGTACAGCAGTGACTGGACCCAGCCACCATCCCGACAGCACACCCAGTAGCGTCAGTGACGTGGTTGTCTCGTTTCCAGTTACTGACACCTGGCCGATGCAGCGCTGGGCAGTTTGGGGTTGAATTCCAAGGTGCATCTCGAGTTTTGGGTAAAACAAAGTTCTCGAGGCCTGAAACACTCGAAGATCGCAGGAGCTTTCATATTCGCAGCACAACATTTGAGAAGTCGTATGCCAGCGCTGCAACACCTGAAGTGCGTCGTGATGGCTGTGAAAGGTCACAAAGACACAAGTAACGGCCCTTGACCACTTTGTGCCTGGATAGACTCCTGCTGCAAGTTTGCAAGGCAAGATGAGTTCAGCATTGTCCGTGTAGCCAGCTGCCAAGTAAGTCTTTCCTGGCAGAAAGCTTTGGACTTAATGCATCCATATCCACTGGCGGACGGCAGCGCCATGACCGTGCACTGAACATCAGAAAGCGACAATGATGAGTAATCATGATTGTCGAAAGCCAGCAGCCAGTGGACCTGTTGCTGTGTGTTGGTAGCAGATGCAAAGTCCTTTCGGCGTGATGGGTCGCCAGCCCTGCAGCTGCCAAAGTAGGGCTTGTGGACATACCATCCCAAGAGCTCTCGCACCCCGGACAACCTATGTGTGACAGGCTCCTTAGGGAGTGTTGATTAGAGTGTTGAGATTGCATAAACCTTCCAAGAATAAGTGGAGCTAAATGCAACACCCTACCTAGCCCGGCAGAAGCACCTGCCATGACTCGTGCAGAACAGCGCGGCAGCTCACCTACCCCCAGTGAATCTTTCTGCAACAAGCAGTGCTTGATCTCAGCCTGCGCCTTCGCTGCCAGAAAAGCTGGCCGGAACAGCGGGACAGGCAAATGGAAAAGCTGCGTCATGCTGTCTCAGGTCATGTTTGTGCTTGAGACTTGGACAGTCTCAGCTATTTTGTTGGCCTTTCATCTAGCTCAGGAAGACTTCGAGGGCTACTGCAGCAGCTTGCCTGCAAGTCAAGATAAGCAGCTTCCAAGCACGCACTAGCCAGCAGCTTTGGTGCACGTGCTCATGATTGTTCAGACGCTCATCGCGTTGCACACGGTGCCTCAGCGACATTTGTTAGAGGGCATGTTACACATGCAGAGGTCGAATGCGCGAGAAATGCACCTGGGGAGGCCACGTAGAGGCGCACTTCTCCTGTTTGATGTTTGCATCTTTGGAGCGTTTTGACTGGCATTAACATGCCCCTCCTTAAACAAACAGAGATTTTCCTGGTGTCCAAGATGCTAGAAGAGAAGATGTGGCTGCTAAGTGTTAGCAGGACATGGGGCCGTTCAGACTGACGTTGAGATTGTATGAGGGATTAGGCAGGGGTATAAGTTATTATAAGGGATTATTATCAGGGATGGGGTTCGTTGACCTCCTAGAGAACCAGTGTGCGCTACACATGAAGGAGCCTGCAGGAAATTTGATCCGTTAATGGGTTAAAAGCAAGCTACGGATTTCCAATGACTGCAGGGGTCGAGTGGCTTATCTAGAGGGTCATCCTGAGCATTGTGTTGGTCTTTGTTTGGCAAGTTAAAATCTTCTCGAGAAATAGTCATTCCAAAGAATGTCAGAAGACTCTTTCCGCAGTTGCTGGGGCGGCCTCATGGAACCTTCATAAGAATAAGGCCTTTTGAATGGCATGCCCTTGCGACTGCAAAGCCTATACCGGGGCCTCATTTTGCTCTCGGGGCCTGCAGCTTGCGGGCCGTGTAATTGTTGCTGTTTTAGGGCCTTGCGAGCTGTTAGATGCTTGGAGTTTGTTCATTGTTCATTCGTAAGCTTGCATGTGCGCTTCAATCTCGGCAAGGCTCAAGCATTGGCAAGACTGAACGGAGTCAACGCTGTGCCTTGCAAACCTGATTGGATTGTCTGCTTGTCACTATGAGACTGTGGCCACGTAATCGTACCCCTTGGCTTGCGCCAATGTTGCAGCAGTAATGCATATGTCAGGTTGTGCTGCAGTATCATGTCGATTGTAATTAATTGTTGTTGGCATAGTGGGGGCACATGAGTCAGTCTGACTGAAGATGCGAGCCTTTGCACGCAAGTCTGGATGCGAGCCTAGGTCATCTATCAGCCATCGCAAGCATCTGGCAAGCCTGACCAGATTCTGCGGTCCGCGGTTGAAATCACAGCGAGCTCAGAAGACGCGCGCTGCGTACAGTTCCCTGGTTCATTGCAACACGTGTGTGGTGCAGACCTTTAGGTGCTTTTGCATACTTAGGGTAGGCCGGGTGTCGTACAAGAGGCGTTGAGTGCTCATTCAACGAGCTGGGTTAGAAGATGTCGTCGTTTGGGCTCTAAGGTTATCGTTTCATCCGACGCACCACGCCGGACAGCATTACAATTCGGTGAGGTGCGCTGGCAAGTCACATGACATGCTCAGCCATGCCTGCGATACCAAATTGCGTGGCTGCTAGCACGAGATCGTGCGCAGTTCAGAGTTGAAGGACAGCACTCATGCAGATGCAGTGGCACGAGGTGTACCGCAGCTAGACCAAAACTGTCTTTATGAAACAGGTGTTGCACCGATAGCGGCAGCGGCGCCGCAGAGCTCGTCAGCTTTAGCATCTTGGGCTATCTTGAGCTACTGCATGCTCTTCCTACCGCACTTTGTATCGTTTCTTTACTGGCTGGCTGCCAGCATCAGGCATAATATGCCGGCACAGTGCTCATGGGGTGCTGGCTTTCATCTGACAAATCCGCCCAGGTGAGATCAAAAGAAGAATAGAGGAGACCTTAAGGCCAAAAGAATCCGCTGTTCCAGACGAGGTGGGGGACCATGGAGCCCAAAACTAAGTCCTCTCAGAAGTCAGAAGCCCTGGCAGGCAGAGGACCGAGGGGCTCCGAAGGGTGACGACTCGGCCTGATCGGGAGCTCCAAGCCATGGGAAGTGTAACTCATTTAAGAAGCGCCTAGGCATCGAAACTTCCATATTCAGACTGCATAGGAAGTGTAGCTTCATGATGGCGCTCATGAGGGAAGCACAGCTGTCGCAAAGACGGTTGCAAAACCAAGTCACTAGAGCTTGAATGCAGCTTTATCCAACCCGTGGTGGGCATCTCGAGTCCTGAGATGTCTTGAGCCCCCGCTTATCTGCAGATGTCGGAGTTGACAGTTCACTGATTCTGCTCCGACTTCGATGACCTTGCTGTCAAAGTTTTTGCAAAACTTGCACTTCGAAGCATCATATTCGTCATGTCACCAGCAAGGGAGTCTTGCCACACAGGTGGCCTGGACAGCTACGCCTTCTGTTTCCTTCCAAGCGCACTGCAGGGCAAGTGTGCCACAATAAAGGATCGTGACTCATACGCGGATGTCGAGCTTGGTTCAACGCTTGCTTGAGCAGTGCTCTCTGGAAAGTTTGGGTTTCCCATTTTCCAGCGGATGCCTCTGAACTGTAATGCAAAGGTGTGTCCGCTAGACCGAGCTGCCGGAGTTGCCCAAAGTTTCGGCGTGGCAAAGTCTGAGCAACATGCCCGTAATGCCCGTAATGAAGTGCAAGACAATTCAGGAGTGGTCATGGGCTTGAGACAGGATCGGCAGCAGGCGATGCTATGAGCTTTCCTGGGTCAAGGTGCCCCGCCTCGGAGACATGTACACAAGCCGTGAGTACATCCACCCTTGAGAGGATGAAAGATGAGCTGCCAGACTCATGCTGCAGTTGAGCATGCCTAACATGAACATTGTCACCAATTCCCTTTGCTTGTCCATGAGGCCCCTGCACCTTAAGGAACATGTTTCCAGTCGGTGGTTGAAATGAAGGGCCTCTGCAGGTCGCCTGAGCATTTCATGTTTCTTGTCCTGATCCACCAGCCGGCCATGGACAGCTGCAATGTTGATTTTGTCTTGCCGCTTCACCCTGTGGCTTCCGCAACTGCCGGCTTAGTGTCCTCTTGGGGTCATTTTGGGGCACCAACAAGTTCAAGCAGAATTCCGCCCGAAAGCCTGAAACATCAATGCCCAGATCATTTGGAATGCAGATTGTAAACCTATCTTCATCAAAGTCCCGGAGACTTGAGCGCTTGCGGCGCCCATGCAACTCAAAGTGGCCAGCCCATGGCCCAACCTTCGCGGCGTCTACGTGGAGACAGACCGCTTTGAAGGTCGCCCAGCTTTTGTGAAAAGCAGCAAGGCCGCAGCGATTTCCGCGGTAGCCAGCCATGCATCTTTCGCCACTGGATCAACTCCTACGCTGACTTGTTTTTTTTTTCTGAGGAGACAGCTCGGAGACCTGGATCTTCTTCTCCGCTCGATTCGGTAGCTGCCCTTGCTGGCAACGAAGGCTGCAATCAGAACCCAGGCACTCGTTTCATGTTGCTCCAGCTGTGACTGGCAGTTCCCTCATCAAGCTGGTGTCAAGGTATTTCGCAAAAACTCTGCCCAAGGCAAGTGGGGTCATGTTTGCCAATGTCTTGTGACGATGTATTCACCCAAACGTGTGTCCGCACAATTGATTCTGAATCCGCTTTGTGAGGCAGGCACGTTAGAGTCGTTTCTACGCTCCTCCACAGATGCGGAGTTGCCTGAGCTTGCCGCGTGGCCGGCCGATGTCACCTTTGTGGGCGAGACCGAGCAGACTGATCAGGTCTCTTCACATGCCATGAATCTCGGGCTTCAATTCTTCTACTGCGCGCGCCTAGTCCAACTAGAGGATATGGGCAACCTTTGCTGGTAACAGGTCACAGTCCCCGTGGTGGAACAGACCTGCAGTGACTGCAGGGCTCTTCAGGCCGACTGGGAGCGGATCTTCCAACATGCTTTTGTCATGCTGCATCCAAGTCAGCGCAATGATCGTTGTACATGCCGAGCATTGAGACTTTAGCTGGCCCGAGAAGCCAGGCACCCAAAATTAGGCAAAATGTGCCCGCTCAACTGGCGCTGAAAGGACCTTTCGGAGGAGCTGAGCTGCTCGCACTGTTGTCCTGAGACGGCTGACGTTGTCAGAGCTCTGTGTTGCTGGCCCGTTTGACAAGGCTTCAAGGTGGCAGCTCTTTTAAAGAAAGACTACTGCAATTTGATCGATCCAGGACTCTTTTGCGCCCCGTTGTTGGATCCTCCGAACTCCAGATGCTGGCGAAGAGCTGCAATGTAGAGGCTACCAGGCCACGGTGCTGACAACAGAATCTGCTGTTCCACGCACATCCTTTAAAGAAAAGTGACAGCAGCCCCGCAACAGGCATATCTTGGAGAAAGTCTTTCAGGCCTGGGCTCAATAAGCACCATGCAGCATAGCCCTAGGCCACCTTCGACGGACTCAGCATTGCAAAAAGCCAGACAACCCCCAAGGGCCCAGAGTGGTCCAGATGTTTTCGACGAGATGTAAGAAATTGCATGGCGTGGATTGACGAGCCGTGCAGAGGTCTCTCAATCTAGCTCACCGGAGCCGGTCTTTATCCGGCAGCCGCCAACCTGCTCCTCGGGGAGAATTGGAAACTTGCTCAGTGTCAGGAGCAATGAGAAAGCCTCTGTGCGCTCTTGAGCTGCGCTGCCTGCTGCTGCTCAACCTTCGCAGCCAAGGTCTGGAGATTGGGGCAGGCACCGCCTCCATTACCTGCCAGGCTGTCAGCCTTCAGAGCCCGGTGCGAAGCTTGACGAAGTTAAGGCTTTTCTTAACGGTGTTGCCACGTAAGGAAAGCTAAAGGGAGGAACTTGGACGCAGCCTCCCCTTTTGGTACTATAGCATGCCCCCAAATTGCCAGAAAATTCCCATATAATCATGTGGGGATTTCTTCGTATACGTTGGTTTGGGATGAGATATACATATATGCAGGTTGAGGAAATTATCTGCGAGCTTTCGCTGACGGAGTACAACGGGACTATTTTGAGAAAACCTCCATGTATGTTCAAAGCCACCAATACCACGACATGAAGCATAGATTCAAGTTGTAATACACGTCCAGAATGACAACATGAGTGAAAGAAAGGTTTTGACACAGAAATTTACAGGGAACCATGGTGCGCCAGATTTCTTGGCTGTGGCATAATTAAAGCTCAACAACAGGTCATGAGGTGGCTGTTGAATCACTCTTCCAGGCTTGGGCCCAACCAGTGGGACACGATACTGGTCACTTGAGTGTTTCAGCTGCTGCAGCTAAGCAGGGCTGCAGGAAATTGACAACAAACATAGAAATGGAGCTTTGCCCATCATGTATGTGTCTGGAGCTTGGTTGTGACACCGGCAGCGTGAAAAGGCCATTGGGCCTGTTGGGAGTTCCTCGGAAACAAACCGTTGTTAGGGAAACATCTTGTTTGCTTTCGGACAAGCCTCTTAGCGATCACGTGTGCGACAAAGTCCGCAAGCACAAGGTCTGCGTCAAATGCGTGTAACAAGAATCTGTCGCAACTCCCATTTGCAGACAGCAGCAACTCGGGACTGCTGAGGCTACCAATGGTACAAGGATGGTCTTGCGCTTCACAGGGCTGAGCGGCCCCGGCTGGTAGTGACTGGAACTCCTGCTGATGAAGGTGATCCGGCAATAGACTTAACGGCTTAACGCAGTGCATCCAGCTCCAAACATAAGATACGAGCTGAGCTGCAGGCATCTACACTTGCACTGCCACAGTTGGCGCAGTGACTGGGCACAGGACAAGAAGCTTGCGCATGTTGCAGATCTGATGCACAGCTGAGGCTTCAATTTGCTCGTCTCCGTGCATGCTTCGTCTTTCAGAATCTGCGCATGCCGCACGTCAAGCGGAGGCAGCGCGACGGACGCGCGCCATGTCAGAAAGGGGTTTGACCAACACATGCGTCACATGCAACTCCGAGCCTGCCTGGAACATCATGCCCCCGCAAACTTTAGGCGTAGAGTCTCCGATGCGCCGAGCTGCCGGAGCCGTGCAGCTGGGACAGCTTCCACGGGCAGTGACACTTCTTGCAGAGGCCGGGCCGCCGGGCCACAGCACACAGCGGGCATTTGCAAGTTGTTGTTAAAATTCGTCCAGGCCATCCAGGCTGCGACGGACAACGAGGCCTCGCCCCAAGCCTGCGCATGCTTGCTGCAATGCGTTCTGCGTCCGCGTTAAGCGCGGCATAGATGCGCTTGTCTAGCTGTGCATCGGACGTCTCTTCTGCCTCATGGACCAACATGAATTTGGAGCGCTGGGTCTGAGAGGCTGATAGCAACTCTTTCCTACACGGCTTTTTCCTACACGGCGGTTTCGAGAGCCGCCTAACTACATGTGCCAGACGTAAGGGCTTTGCGTTGAGCGGGAGCCAGAAATGCTTTCTGCTCTGCCACGTTGCCTTGTTGGAGCTACAGCTGCGTATTGGAAAAGGCAGCACGTGCAGAAGCTCTCTGCCTACGTGCTGAACTGCGCAACCAGCTGGGCCACTGGCAGGACCGCTGACCGCACTTGAAACTTCAGGACGTGAGTCGGCCCTTGCAATCTCGTAGAATCTCTTGCGCTCTTGCATGTTGGAGGATGCGTTTGCAGACGCGAGTGACGCCTTGGCACTGATTCCAAGCCTCGCGCGGGCTCATGCTGCGCGAGGTGCATCAGCTGTGATTGCTGGCCACAGGATATCGGACAGTGTAAGTAAGATCAACCCTCATCGTTTCTTGCGATGTTATGCTGGGGAGGGCCTGTTTGTTGTTACGGCGCAAGCTCGCTGGGCACGCGCAAGGGGAAGCCGCCGAGCAGCTCGGATTCTTGGCCGAGGCACCGCAAGCGGTGCTCAGACTGTTGCCTGATTTGCCTCCTGGTGATACTAGTAGCTAGCTGGTATTAGCTGGTGGAGAGACATCCCATTGCCAGCCGCATCCTGGATGAAGTCCGTACACCTGGAAGGCCATGAGCAGTTGGGAAGCTGCCGACCTCCTTGGAGGCTGTTCGTGCAACACACCGCCCCTTACGATGCCCCATGATCCAACAGTGGCGCAGGCATTCCCGACGCAGCGAAGCGAGCTGAGGAGCATTCAGATACTGTTGCAGATAGCAGCAAGCCTTGAGACACAATGGCTTAATTTGCGCAACGTGCGTGCTGCGCTGAATTTGGATTGTGTTCCATGGTGTTCAACTTGAAGCGTGTAAGTATTCGTCGCCCGGCATATGTACACATGTTGCAGAAGACACCTCACACAAGACATGCAGGCCTGCAGACAAAAGCTGCGCCAGTTCTTCACTGAGAACGCCAAACGTCAAGGACCAGAAGGCTGCAGCCGGGCAAGCCGTGCTTTGTGAGGGGACCTTCTTTTTTTTGACCGT